GCAGAGGCTTTTTACAGTGTATGTGCCCAATTTAATTTATCAAAATTAAAGGGATAGTTTGTGATTTTTGAAGTGGGGCACGGAAGCTATAAGCAATGTGCTACAAAATGTATTTTAACCACCTCAAAGAAGGGCCACCAAAAAAAGAAAATCAATATCGGTTCAAGTGTTTAATATTTTCAGCACCTTACCTTGCCATCAGACAGCCATTTCCTTTGGAACAACATTTTCTCAGCCCTCGAACCGCCATATTCCTACGCTTCAGTGCAACTTGTATGATCGGTGTATTGCGCCGCTGGAGACGGCAGTAAATTGTTTAGCTTCAGTGCTGGTAGAACTCTGTTTCAACAAACAGAGGACACTCTGACCGCCATGTCCTGCAGGTACACTGATATGGATAAGTGCCTCACACAGACCCACTTAAAAAATCCCAAACTATCCCTTTAATATAATTGATACAACTCATTTAGTGAATCCACTAGACTTCAAATAAAAAGAAATTCCATTCAACTTCATGGAAAAAATCTATGTTTAAAAACTGGATTGAGTCCTAAAATGATGACGTTGAACAGACTTATGAAAATAACCCTGACTTTGATCTTATCTGATTGCCTGACTGATAGCAGAGTCCATTCAGTCTGTATCTGTGTTCTCTGAATTTCATAAAGGGGGGGTACTTGGATCAAAAGAAAAGTAATAAATCAATTTAATTATGTAAGCATTTTCTTTACCGATATGCTGAGGTCGACTGTGAACATGAGAACGGAAATGAAACAGCCCAGCTCAACGGATGAAAAGATATTTGCGCAAATCAATGTTTAGCAAAGGTCATTTCCTTTAGATACATAACAAAGATTGACAAAGAAGAGAAGACATTCAAAATCATATTTTCAACATAATTTTTGCATTATAAAATGTATAGTCTATGTAATATTTAAATCCATGTTTAACACTGACTGACTGAAACAAAAGAAATTTATAGAATCCCCAATCCATCAATAACCACTAGGCTGTTTAAAGAAAAATTCAACATCATCAAAACCAACAATGGGTTCACTTTATGGGGTTTTGATAGTCAATAATATGAAGGAAAGATATTAATCCTAATAACAATAATGTGAATGCTGACTCAACATTCTCAGTATAATCAATATGACCAAAAGCTCCAGAAAAACAGCTACTAAATGTACTTTGTGTTGAGATGTTTCCAAGACCAATAATGAAATTTGAACCTCAGATTTATCAAACATACTGGATCTCTTTGGATAAAACTCAAATGCCAGACTCTCCACTTGTAGGCAGAACAAACTCATGCCTCTACGTTGTACTGTTAACCGTTGGCTCAAGAAAGCCAGGAGAGCCTTGTAAGTAAAGTTTATCATTTGATTTGTCTTTGGTTTTTGGTTCCATGCATCAATTCAGTATAGCCAGTGAGCAGGGAAAGACAAAGGCTCTGGGTTTATGAATTGTTGAACATCATAATAAGCATGCTGTATAGCCTGAACGTCTGGATTACCAAACTGGGAATCAACGCATCACAGCTGGAAAAGCTTAGCCATTATTTCTGCTACAGTTATGAAAGCACACGATCTGGATTACAGAGTTAAAAGGGTTTCTGGATTAAGTTCCCTTCATCAGAAGAGTCATCAATACATGTTCACGGTAATAAAAAGACTAAAGCTGCTAGAATCTTTTTTTATATTACCAATTGTTCAAATGTACTACTACCCACCCAGTTCCTGTCAGCTAGTTAGCATCTTATAACTTAAACTTAAATTGTTTTGGCTTCACCTCCAGCAATATTTTGGTTCAGGCTGCTCTCTCAACCCACCGTAAACTGTTAACAGCAATTAGCAGCTAGCTGGAGAAACTTTTTGAACTGAACTAAGTAATAATTCTCATATTTTGGATATTTAAGACCTCCATTGAGAGACAGCTTCACTCCGGGAAAGAGAGATGCATTTGAAATTAATGGAAAAAGCTGCCAGTATGTGGTACGGCTATTGAACATTAGACAAAGATTAAATGGACAAGAGTGGGTGCCAGAGTGACTCACCTTGATTAATTCTGCCATGGCTCAGAGTGATTTCATACAGTCTTGGAGAGTAAGACTTCCTGCCATCACATTAAAATTTCAGAGAAGAGGTTTGACCTTTCTAAATAATTCTTTTGGTGGGCATTTGCTGTCTCCATTCACATTCAGGTAACCGGTGGTTTCGAAAAATTTTAGTCAGATCAGACGTGTCCCCACTGCCCATAGATGAATCTGAATAAAATCACTGCGCCTTTATGTTCCAAATGTGTTATTTTGAATTGATTTCAAACTGGATGTTATTAATTATATAAAAGTGGATATTACGGTAATGTCTTCATACAAGTGAACTGTCAGTGTTTAGGTTGGCCATCGTGTGGCAGTTATCGATTACCTATTTTTTATGTATAAATACTTAAGCTGTTTATCTATTAATTTAGCAATTTCAACCAATAGCTAGATAACGATTTTTTTAACCATTACTTTGAGCTATTTGACCATTTCATTAACCCATTGCTTTTATCCATCTTCTCACTAACTATTTCAAACACTTATCCATTACTTTCAGCTACCTATTTTAGCCGTATACTTATTACTTTTCAATCAATCAATCAATCAATATCCTCTTAATAATATTTAGGACACCTTTCAGGGTTTTATGTTCTCAGCAATGTTTTTCCCCCAGGTCAGATGTTCAATGTATGTTTCATGTTGTATGTCAAGATGTTGAAATCGCCCAGCTTATAGCTATACTGATATTATACTCCTTGAAACCCACACCCTCACATTTGCAGGCAAATATTTTCTTCACCTTACATTTACAGATATCTCCACAGTGGCTGAACAGATAGACATAGGTATGTATCCATCTATTGTCGAATGATTGACTGATGTGGATGCAGATTTAATGCCTGTCAGCAACTGTCAGTCAGTGACGATAAATAGCACATAGACAAGCAATAGCCCAGTGTGTGTGATAACCATCACATTTGATGGTTATTAAGAAACATTAGATTATATCACTACTACAAAACAATCAAAACAGAATCATCATCTGTGAAAGTTGTTTGCTGTGTATTCCATTATTACTCATAGCTGATAAGGCAAACATTTATTTGTCTCTGAGTGAGAGAAATGTGAGCCATAAACATTTCAGAAGGACCACCCATTCTGTTTGTTAAGAGATTTGCGGGCAGCCTCTCAACAGCAGGTGCTTCTGCCTATTAGGATAAGAGGTTAATCCCTGCAAATGAGGATGACTGAAGTTGATTGTCTAATTTAGATGCACTGTAGCAGCACTGACGGCACTGTGGATTTATAATGATACTACAAGCTCTGAGGGACATGTACCATTTGTTTCCAGGCCCAATTACCTTCCTTTTGTATGCATGAAGATGCTGACCAACACTAATGCTTTACAGCTAATGAGACAACTATGTCAACGTCTGTAAACAGTGACAAAAAAATTACAGTGGCAGCAGAGACACTGAATATTTATGGAAGGGTTTATCAGCTTCTCCAGATATTAAAAAGAACCTTATTTGTGACGTTATCAGGAAACCGCAGTGATATACAAGGTTATGGTCAAAGGTCAAGAAAGGCCAATGCATATCTCAGTACAAAACCTAGTCCATTGATGTGAGGAGGATTAAAACTGGATTATCTGATATTAGCACATTCTTATCACTGGACTCCATGCAGTGGAGCTTTAATGTGGACTAGAGCAAACGTTATGACTAAGACACCTGCAAAAGCCCTGGATGAAAGAAAGGCACAGACACAAAGTGCTTTAATTTGGTTTGATTTAAACGGAGTTCTATCAACCTGTTATTACAGAATAAAGATTTAATTAAGCCCCTGAAAATCTGAAGAAGGCATGAATGGCACCTGACAGGGAGTACTGCCACATCTCCTTGTCACCTTACTGACTATATCAGACATCATGCCTCATAGCTCAGAAAGTCAATCTTTTCATGCACAAGTCATTTACCTAAAGAAAGGCACGTTAAACAAAATTTTCCCTTTTCAATATGCCGTTTTGAAATATTAGCTACAGTATATGAACAATTTATCACGTTTCAGTGCTGGAAGCTTGTAGAGAAAGCTTGCACTCATTTTCCCAAGGCTTCTCTCACTGACTGTGAGAACGTAAAAGTTATTTAGAAGTGTTTTTAAATAAATTTAGGTGAACACATAAAACTTAAGAGTTTGGGATGTGGATAAGGTATACAAATTTGAGTTAAAGTCACTGTTCCAACTGTTTAAACTTCAACGTGACCTATGTAAACCAGGGTCAGCGATTCTCTGGAGATAATTGGACTATTTCCACAATTGCTAAAAAATGTGCCACATAACAAAACTATTACACTTTATACCCACCTTGTGTGACCTTTCCTGTCAGGCTTGAGTCTATCTCACAAAGTAAATAATCACAAATACATCATTGGGTGGAGATCTTCCACTGCTGTAAAACATTTTTCTCTCTGGCAACAGGGCACTTTCAAACAAAACATTTTTTTGGCCTGTAATGTAAATTTATATTAAGTAAAGTTATATTCATACATTTTTATCAACTATTTAAATGTATCAGACAATCTCTGGTGACACTGTTACAAACTTAAATGAAGATTAGTACGCTGTGAAAGAGCTCCATCTGGTGTAAGATTGGAAAAATACATCAATAAATTTACATCTGATGTTCCAAATTTGCTGTTTTTATTTGTTTATGGTTGTGTAATTGTGAGGGAATTTTTCTATTTATGGGTAAAAGGTGAGGTATGAGTCATATACATGTTACACTCAGGTCAGTTTCAAATTCTGTCCTTATCAGGATGTATCATAAGCTTGACAGTACAAAGAGGAAATGGGACAAATAATCAAGGTAATAAAATATTCTTTGTGTTGGTATTGTCTTATCTCTGGTGAATATAGAGGTAACGCTGATTTATTAGACACACAAATCAACAAATGGGAAAAAAGACACTATTTATTAATGAAATGTCAGTTTTACCACCATGGAAAAAACACATAAAGCCCTGTAATCACCCTGTAATTTGGCAGGTGCAATGAATTACACTGTTACATTACTTCCTATTTTTACAAACAGGTTGCAGCCACAAAAAACACTGAACCAACCTTATGTGAGTCTAATTACATACAAATGCCCTATTAAACATACTACAGGTTGTCCTTCTGAATCTGAATGAGTTCCAAACCATTACTTATTCAGATTACATTTAAGACAAATGTTGATCAAAGAAAACTATTTATATTAAGAGAAGGCTGCCACATGTTTCAAATTGGACATTGTGTATTTCTACAGTTTGTTCTAAACCTTCATGATCAACATAATTCTCCTTCATTTCCATTTCAAGTGTTAAAATATCCTCCACATTATTTGGTTCCACATCTTTAGAACATCGGTGGCGACATTATTTTACAATTCATTTGGTCAACAACTTGTAGGCTACAGTGGAAATGGTGAGTCAGTAAAACCTCCTATTTGTATCAAAAATATTACAGCATCGCCAACGTCCTGCACAGAAAATACCCGGCAGTGTAACAAATAATAACAAAATCTCACGTATTTATGGTATTCGGATTTTCCACAGAAAATCTTATTTGAACAAGAGTTCACTCCTCTTGTCATATAACACAGCATCGAAAAGGCTGTTCACTGAGCGAGTCTACTTCTCAGCAATTTACCACAATATATGGATAGTACAACCTACTTTAGAACAAATTAAAAATGTATTAGGAGGCTCAACTGTGTTATCTGCTTCCAGTTTAGGCTTCCAGCGAAAACATCTGACTTTCCTCAATCTTTGTAAACTACAAGCTAAGAGAGACTTTTCCAAACCATTTGTACATTACAGTAAAGGAACTTCTTAATTGTCACATCAGACGTAACCTTTTTGTTTTTCTTAAACACTTCCTCTAACTTTCTTGATACAACAAGGGAGTGGTCTGGTGTTAAGGACACAATGATACTTGTTTGACAAACACTACAAACTGATAATTTACTTCCCTCACTCAATAAAGTGCAACTCTCTTTAGCTATTAAAAATTGAACGTCTAAGAAACTTGATGCTAAACTGGTGTGCTAATAAAATTAACAAAAAAAAAAATGATTTAGAAAATTGATTTATGTGACTATTTTTCTAACAATCTGAGAACTACAGATTGGGGTTTATAACACCACTCCCTAAGAAAGAATGAAAAAAATGAAACCAAGTAAACACACATCAGGATATAAATATAATTTTAGCTGAACCTGATATGAAACACATTCAAGAAAAATTACCATTACCAACACAAAACAAATCTAATCCTAATAGTGCAGTCAAACATTTTTACCCATCAAATCAGTGCTTTCATATTCTTACCCGCAGTTTACATTTTGACAATACAGAGATCAGTAGAAAAAGACAAAATAAAATATCTAAATTTGTTGTGAAAAAAAAAAAAAAAACAGGTTTAGAATGTGAGTTGATGCGACACAATTCTTCTTCAATTCTTCAATAGTAAAATAACATGCCTTAACACCATGCCTTACATGATTATTAGACTAACTGTGCCTCAGTATAGAATGTAATTTCCCATTAAGTCATTAAATAACAGAGCCCTTACATCTGAATGTTTGCAGAGACTAGCTGAGCACTTGCCGGTGTGTCTGTATACAAGTCAACACAATTAAACAAACAGTAAGGCATGAATAAACCAAAAGCTTTAAATTTACACCGTTGCATTAGGTTTTTACTGTAGCCTATTGAGCAAATAATGGAAAACAAACAGCGGCATTATCTGCTTTACTTGACTGTCACTGATCATAAGTCAGACTACACAAGATAATTGAAGTATCACACTGCTACCAGTGCGGGATGGACGACCAAACTGTCTGCTAATCAGTCATGTGTGCCTGGTTTAAAAGTACAATTAAATCTAACATCTGTTACAATCACAAACGGTCACCTTGGGTTGTAAACTGCCTGTGATAGCATAAATAATACTAAGCTGAACAGAAGTGCATCTTAATGACAGAATTGCAAGCGTGCCCAACTTCAACAGTTAGTGCATTGATAAAAAAAAGATTGTTTCTACATGAAAAACTTTGGTCAGCGACTCTGACTGAAAACAACTCTGAGATTTATCACCTTTAACCACATCCCAAACCCTTCTGTCACTATCTGTTTGCAGTGTTATTATTTAGGCTAACAAGATAGTTTCAAGGATCTAGAAAAAACTGCATTTCACGGTGTACTCTTTACAGTCTAGGAAACAATGTACACAAAGTGCAAGTACATACTGTTTACAAGAAAAGATTTGCTTGTAATTATAATTTTCCATGACGACACAAATCTTCATAACAAATGTGTATCAGGCCATCCGCTTCCCTGTTGTTCTCACCTTCACTGAAACAAAGAGCTGTGAGAGGTGCAACGCAATGAGCTGTCCTCTTCTCCTCAGACCCCACAGTCATCAGCTCTGTCTTGGAGTTTGCGCGTGAGGATGAGGAGGGTGGAGAGGGAGGCGACTGAAATTTGGAAGATCAGCTGCCACGCGTTCCTCAGGCCGAGCAGGTAGAGGTTGCATAGGACGATTGCACTCAACAGAGCAAAGGACTTGAGTTTCTTCAGAGATGAGTGGAACAGGTATAGGTGGCACTGTGGACACCGGAAAGGTTATTGGCATGGAAGAGTTTGACACGGGCGAGTTTCAGTTTGCAGTGGAAGGCTGCATGAAGCACATTTATTTACCTGAAACACACAGCAGACAAACGCCAAAAGAAACGCCACAACATTCCATATTCCTTCATAATCATCCTGCGTATAGAGAAAGGACAACAAATTAAACAACCTTGTCATTGAAATGTAAGTTTAAAAAGTACCACATTTACTTCTGATTATAATTCTCTAATTCACACAAGAGTGACAGTTTTGAAGTTTCATTATCAAACCCCTGCTTTCACAGCAAAATGCTAATGCACAGCAGACAGTTGAGCCAGCTAATGTAAGCTTACACATGACCATTTCCAAATAAAATCCCCAACTAAACATTTGTTTGACTATACCTAATATTTTGATGAAACACACAAGCTGAAATTGAACATAACATTCCACATGTTGGACTTTGCTGGACGTTTTTTAGATTCATTTTAAGTATTTGTGATTCTGGCACATACCTGAAATGTGAACTCTATGAGGTGAACACCACGGATTATGTTTAAAGATGCACACATGATATTTAGGACCAGAGAGAGGATGCCTGGCGCTGTCACTGGCTCCAGTCGTACATTCTGACCTGTTAAACAAAAGAAAGTGACCATATAAATAGTGTAAAATAATAAAACACAGTAAACTTTGAGAACTTTTCCTCATGTCTGCATCACAGAAACAAAAATGACAGTATGGTATATGCTGTACTGTATAAGTCATATGGTCTTACCAGATCCAGGACCTTGCTCCATGTGCCCATTTGCAGTGCCGTTGGTGAGCTCCACTTCCTCCAAGTTAATTACTTGTGGTGGATGGATCCTCAGATCCTCCTGGACCTCTGCCAATGTCACCTCCAGGGCTGGACCACCGCTCTGGTTGTACTGCTGCTTCAGCTTCTGAATGGTGCTGTCTGTCAGTTGGCAAGATGGGTAACATCGGGATAAATCAATGTGTTTATTTTTGGTTTAAAGTATCACAGCCCTGGAGCTTTGCCTGACATTTAACACATCATATTCAACACAATCTGAAAATATCAACAGCAAATCTAGACAACAATATTAAGCTTCCCACTCACCAAATTCCAAAAATGGATATGGCCGGGCTGCCAAGGCAACAACAGTGCTATTGAAGCATGCTGTGAACTCCCAGCGTAGATCTTCCAGGAAGCAGAAGGCCTTAGCAACAGGGAGGCTGCAGTGGCACACGGTCATGTAGGATACACCCTCTGAGGAGACGAAGCTAAACAGGTGAGAGGAGAAAAGGTGTTTAGTAAACAAACAGCCTGACGCAGCTTGACATGAAGGCCCCTGTGACCAAACAGACAACATCCTGTCTGTCTGTGTATTGTGTCGTTTTTTTTGCAGTTACAGGGTGCACAACAGAAACAGCCTGCTGAATCCTTACTATATGTTGAGCTTCTGGCCCTTGACAGTCCCTCTGTCAGGGAAACGGGCCAGTGCCTTGCTGATGGTCCTGAGCTGCTGCTTCCTCTCCTGGAGCTCTCGGTTGTGTTCAAAGTCTGTGGAGGCTGACAGGGGGAGTCCATCCCTGACCCGAACCACAAAGGCAAACAGGATCAGAGACATGATCCACTGGGTCCATGAAGAACACACTGCCTGCATGGGGTCAACAGAAAAGTGAGACTGTCAGTATTACTATGTTAGGGCCGCAACTACATTATTCTCATTATCTGGCAATCATTTTCTCTAATAATCAGTTTATCTGTCTATAAAATGTATAGCCAAAAATGTTGAACACAAGCACCTAACTGACTAAACTGTTGTCTTCAAATGTCGTGGTTCGATCAACAGTGCATAAACCAAGGAGTTTATGTTTAATATCGCAACAGACAAAGAGAAGCAACAAGTATTTGCAATTGGGGATGTACTTTTGGCTTCTGAAAATTACAAATGATTAATTGATTATCAAAATAGCTGCAGAATAATTTACTTTATCAATTAGATATCAAATCATTTCAGCTCTATATTAAACCAAAATACACTCAGTTCCCAGTCTTTTTTTTATAGGTACACTAAAACTATTACAATATGACTGAACAGCCTTGAAATACACCTTACAATCATGAAGGATATATTTTAAAACCAAAGTTGTTTTCGCCAGGAGTTGAGACTTTGTTCAGTTGCATTGCGTTATTGTGAGAGGCGTGTCTTACATTTTGTTTACCCCATTTTTATCAGTGAGGGTAGCCTAAATATTAGAAACACCTTACAATACAAACCAGCAGCACCACCACAAACTACAGCCTCCAAAATTTCTATAAAGTTTGAATTACTACACTCAAACTTTAAATACTTAAAATACTAAGTTAATACTAAAAAGCCTGCATGAGTTTTAACAGGTGTACATAACGCACAGACTGCCATCTAAGTGTTTATTATTAACTGCGTAACGTTAGACATTAATTTTTTTTCAGTTAAGAACCATTTGGACAATAGCGATAATTCAGTCTACGGTCAATTATAAACGTGTAGTAACACCTTACCTCACTATCATGGGTTTCATGCTGCACTTTGTTACTTGTAACGTTAGGTTAGCTGACTACAGCACCGTATCAAAGACATGATATACACCAACAGCAGGTAGCTAGCCCGAGCTTCACATGCACCTTACGAGTGCAATCTCATACTTTCTATTACCCGCGATTAATACTGTGAACCTGAATAACCTATTAAAACAAATACACAAGGATTTGCATTAAAATTAGCCAACGAGCTAACTTGAAACCTTCTTCCTGATACAAAAAAACCACAACAAATCTGCTACGGGACCTCGGAGGGACAAAACTGATCTGGACCAGTCGGAGTTATTCGCGTCGCAACAACCTCTTCATAACTAGAAAGTGGAGTTAGCGGCTTGTCGACCGTCAGTGACTAGCTAATTATTACCTGGCTAGCTACTACACAGAGGTTAGTTATGTCATTTGCAACTTTGAATATAATGTAATGTGATATTCATCGATACGTTAAATGTGAGTGACGCTAGTAAATGCGACTGAAAGAAGTCTAACGGTAAGTTAGCTGTTAGCTCAACCAGTTGACAAGCGCTAACGTTTGTGTTAACGTTTAGCTAGCTAGCTGTTATTAGCTCTGTGGTTCATAAATACTTTTAGTGATCTGTTGTTGCTTTGCACATGTTTTGACCTTCAGACAAAACCATGTGTAAAATGTGTGCTGTATTAGCTAACGTTGTTACAAGTCGTGAGCGTTGGCAGATAGTTAATGTCGTCTCTGTAAGCGGCATTTCCTTGTTTGGATTAGCATTATTTGTGGTCCATTACATTTTTATTTTGATTGCATCTTAATAAAATAAAGGCTTTTTACCTACTGTGGTCTGCATGGCTTGTAGGACATGTAGCTCACATTACCTCTCATTTATCCTGCTGAATACTTTACAGTTGAGAGATTATCGCTGTCTATATTTAGCAGGGACGTTTTACAATCTGACAGGGCCTTCCAGGACATCAAGCACAGGCAAGGCTTATAATATGATATCAGTGCTATGAATACAATGCATTCCTGACTTTGAGCTGAGCAGTGGGAGCTGAAATGATGGGTCTCATAGGCTGCACAGACTAGTAGTAATAACAACATTTGTATTGGTCGGATTTGTGCTCAATAATCCAGCTGTAACGTTACTGTGTATTTGTGCTCTGTCATTAGCTGTGAAATCACAGGTTGCTCTTTCGTATTACATTACCACTGATTGACATATGTTTTAACTGAGCAAAGCAATATCTCTCTCCACGTATCAGTGGCCTGAAATTATGTCCGGTAGCCTAAAAGTTTGCTCTCCATCCCCCCTGTATGTTGCCCTCCTCCAACACACATAATCAGGATTTTCTGAACAATATGCAGCCTATATCAAGCAAATCGTGAGAAGATTAACCTTTTAATAAATCCAGACATTACTTAGATTATTGGACACTCTGTTTTCTTGCAGTCTTGCTCTTTCTTTCCCTGCAAACAAATGCATGTTAGTCTTATATGCAACTTGAGCACAGGAGCTGCTGAGAGCCCAATATTTTGTTGTAATTCACAACAGTTTATTGACTTTTTGTGCAACAGTAGAGGAACACTGACACTGAACAAGTTGAGGCAGGGTGTTTGCTTACACTGTTGCAGGAGTTACTTACTCTTGGATAGCCACTCCATTTCCCTGTAGACTCCCCTCCCGTCGTTGTCTCTCCTCCCCTTTCTGTTTCTATCCTCCCTCGCTGTCACCCTACAGTGTTTTCCACCACACTGCTCTAAGTGAGCTATACTTTGTAGGTGTACACTGACAGATAAAAAAGGAACCTGAATGGCATGCTTACTGCTTCTGAAATTAAGAGAAGGCAGCCTTATTACTTTTCCTGCTCAGCTTTTTTCGCACATCTTCTACATTTTAGGTCACCTGGACTTTGATCACAATGGGGGTGAAAGACCGCCCTCAGTGTTACTTTGATGTGGAGCTCAACCGTGAGCCAGGTAAGAGAATTTAAAATCAGTTAACAGCTATGGGAATTAGTGAGACATGTAAGCAGCCTCAGCTCACTTTCATAGCCAATTACTTTGAAGTGACATCATAAATAAATGGATGTGTGTATGTTTTGTAGCCTTGGGGCTTTTGACTGATATTTATTTGGCTGTACAAAATGAAAGTACAACACCCACTGGTATATTGGCTTGGCAGACTGGTTTTTGTGTCTCTACTGAATGGTTGAATTGAAGTCCAGCTCTAAAAAAGCTATTTGCATTATGAGCAGGAGCTGTCTGCAATAATTAATGTGAATGTAAAGGCGGCACAGACAAGTTTAGCAGCCTGTTGATAAATACATGTAATTGACTCATATGTGTACAGGGAGGGACAAAACAATGCTGGGAGCTGTGAAAGGGTTTCTCTAATGTGTGAGCTTCACCACAGGAATTTTGTAATTGTTGGAGGCCAATTAAAAATGTACAGAAGTGCAGTGCAGTAACATTTGGGCTACTTGTAACCCTTAAATGCAAGGCTATTATTATTTCCCCTATTGTGTATAGTATTTTCTAACACCAAGTTTATGTTGATGATGCTTCATATACTCTTTAAACATTTAAAATTTGTAATAACTACAAGATGAAGTGAGCTAATATTTTTCTATTTTGTGTTTTATAGTTGGGCGCATAGTCTTTCAACTTTTTTTGGATATTTGTCCCAAGACATGCAAAAACTTTCTGTCTTTGTGCACTGGTGAGTAATGTTCAGTCAAGCACATGTTTTACTGTAATGTCATTCTTTTGCAACATTCACCGCATTGTATAACCCAAATTAGCAAAACAAAAGAAACCTGTTTGACAGCATAACATGAAGCTGAGGGGTGTACTACAAAGTATGTTCAACAGGCTTTCTTTGCGTTAGCTGGCTTAACAAAACCTAAAACCCCAATGAGAGATAATGGGTATCACGACAGTGCTTTTTAACTTTCTTTGTTAACCCAGGTTTTCTTCATCAATCTCTGTGCACATTCCCATAAAAGGGGACGTTTGATTTGCGTGATTTGACTTTTCTTCTTTACAAATTAGGTAAAAGAGGAATGCTGGTGGAAAACTGTTAATCTACTCTATACACTCACATTGCCTACTGTTTATTTCTAACATGACAGCTGCACTGTAGAGCAGCTTTAACTTGATACAGCATATTTAAACATTATATTTAAGAATTGCATTTAGGTCTGACATTGTCCCATCATGAAGGATGTGTGAAAATCACTTTCGTTTTTGGCCTAATCAAAGTGAAATACCCCCCTCTGAATGAACTGAAAATAAGAGCCACTGTGTCGTGCTCCCCACCCCTCTTTGGTCGTTTGAAATCTTGAAGAAAGGAGCTATGGCTGTAGAATAAATTGTCCAGTGACAGATGGAGTCACTGGATGGATCCTGGTCTATATCCCAAGATATTTCATCCCACTGAGTAGAACACAGTTTTACTGTAGTAGCGGTGGTCTGTCCTGATATAGCCACAAATCTGCAAACAGACTGCAGATCGATCCTCCCTCTCATTTTTCGCTCCACCTGACTGACAGGAATGTGATGCTGGCAAGGGCAGATATGGGAGATGGCTGGTTAGTCTGTTTCTTTTCCTGGACACACACACACACACACACACACACACACACACACACACACACACACACACACACACTTAAAGTATACTCAAGACACTGAAATTATCTTATGTGTCCTTTTATGAGGGGATCAGCTCACACCATTAGAAACCAAGGCCTTGGAACAATGCTGAAGCCAGTGAAGCAGAACACTAAAAGATTAGCAACCTAAGCTGCACATTTGAACAGCCAGCCCTCTGTCCTCCGAAAAGCACCCTTAAGCACATCAACACATCTAATGAAATCTCGGCCTTCACATCTCATTTCACCCTAGGGAAAGGGAAATCCAGGGGGCAATAGCTTTGGGCCAATATTCTGTCCCATGCCAGTATCACACCAGTGGAAGATTTCTTAATGAATTCTGGAGTCCCGCACAGGAGTATTACCAACAGGATGTCTGAACAAAGGCATCTAAGTTTATTGTACTCTCCCTTCTCATACTGGGGTTTCATTCCCTTGTTTAAAAGAAACCTCATGTGGCAGCGTTCAAGAGTAACATTTCTGTACACCTCAAGGCATCTAGTATACACAAAGGCTCTTCATATAGTAGCAGGTCTGTTGAATGTTTTGTGTTTGATGAGAGCTCAGTTAACATACATCTCAATTGCAGGTGAAAAGGGAACTGGCAAAGTCACAGGGAAAAAGCTGTGCTACAAAGGCTCCACGTTTCACAGGGTTGTAAAGAACTTTATGATCCAGGGAGGCGACTTCACCGAAGGTAGTAATGTCTGACGTATAAATAACCTCGTTGGCTTTGAGAGTGTGTGTTTAATCAAACTGACTGAATGAAGTTAGTCAGCAAGTGTTCACGCTATTCCACCTTTTTCAAACTGCTGGATCCGTTTTCACATAAAACCCAAACAGAGCGAAAAAACGCTGCTTTGAAAAAGATGCTGCATCTAATTTGGTTTGTTTTATGAAGAATCAGATGCTCTCTTAGGTAGAAGATGTATTTATACAATGGCGATGCTTTGCGTGGTTTCAAAGCTAACAATGACAAAAAAAAATTGGCAGACACAATTAATCTCATTAAAGTGCCAATATACTGTGGCTTTGTTGTAGGTGTTTATGGCAGGCATCCAGGAGACCATACTGTTTCCTGAATGTGGCCGCCACTTCAAACATTTGTTCTATAAACATGTATTAACTAATGAGCACTTTTTTTCTGTAATGTGGTACAATGTTTACACATGTTTAGTTTCATTTTAATATAAAGACGTTTTGGACTGATTACTTTAGTCAAGTCAAATATATTTCTGTATCACATTTAAAACAACATGAGCTGACCAAAGTGTTTTACAAACATAACAACATAAGTAAACGGAGCAGACAAAAAAATAATGCGTATACACAGACGGAGAGCTGGAAAAAAATCAATGAGTTCTGCAAACAACTAATAAAACAACCATTTTTAAGGCTGCTTACTGTTAATCTCTGCAGGAAATGGAAGAGGTGGAGAGTCCATATATGGTGGCTACTTTGAAGGTAATGGAAAAATCTAATTATCTAATAAGCATAAAATGTTTATCTGAATATAACTTAGCTACATTTGCATGAGCATAATGTTGCATGTGTGCCTATCATCATTATTATTATTATTATTATTATCTTAATAATGGATTTCTGCAGAACTTTTCCAATAAATGACTCCGTTGACCTTCACTTTTCCGTTGTATATTGCTGTCTCTTATATTTCATAACAGTAGTGGACGTTTGTCAAGTCAGCATGGAGAGTAGGCATTCTCTTTATTGAACGCTACAATCTTCCTGCCTAAAATTTTCAACATATTCTTTTATTTATAGAGTGGTCTTTTGCAAAATGAGAAGGTAAGAGATGTACACAGCTCAGTAACACCATGTCAACATTGTCCCCACCACTGCCCTCTCTCAGTGAAAACTGTGCAAATGTTTGCAATGGTGCAGGTACAAATCTGTACTGAAGGGATGTGACAGGATTTTGTCTTCAGACAGCCCCCATGTTACACCCCACATTACTTTTTATGTTACATGTGTGGTATTTATAGCCGCAATAGGAAGAGTACCACAGTGGAAATAAGGTATTTATCCTTTATCCTTATCCAACATGGATACAGTATGTACACAAATTGGTTCAGTGTAACTTTTAGTCTGTACGTAGTCAATCAACTATTCCGATATACTGTAGTATGTTTCTGTCTAATATTTAAAGGGTTATTCCAGTGGATATTTTAGTCGATTAAATTGCTTTTACGCACTGTGGACCAATGTTCAAAAGCATTCACTAAGTTTAAGTTCGTTAAATATGCTATGAAAATAATCTTCAGGAGATTTAAAACTCGCCTTAGATATGTGATTCATTAATTGAACCTTTTTTTGTGTGTGTTTGCATCATTGTCAGACACTTTTTGTTTTTTAACAACCGTTTATGCGTTATCTTCTCGATTGGCTTCTCTTCTGCCTTTTCATATTTGACAGCTCATGAACATTAGTTATCTCTGAAATCAGTTTGACCCTCTTTGAATTCACCTTCGTGGAGAATTTTCTAAATGATAACGTAACCTTGATAAGAAGAAAGGCACTGGATGGATATTTGCCTCCCCTAGTATGTTCAAATGAATGGAAACCAACCTGGTCAAAATGAAAATTAAATGTGTGTTATTTGTAGTTAATACAAACAAAACAACAAAAACCTTTTTAGAACGCGCTGAATGGAAGGACTGGTTGGTGAGGCAATGATTGGGTTTGATGGATTTAAATAGTTCAGTTAAACCTGTTGTCCTCTTCTTCTTCCCTGAATATTTCCGCCATTATGCATCAGAGAAAACACTCTGACACTGCGATCGCTCTTTCTCTGCTCTCAACAGACGAGAACTTCACTCTCAAACACGACAGAGCCTTCCTGTTGTCGATGGCCAATCGTGGGAAAGACACCAACGGTTCACAGTTTTTCATGTGAGTAACATGAAGTAAATCAAATCCCTCTGCACCTTTTAATACCTGTGCCATTTAACTGACGGGTCACTAGCGTTATTTGTTTGCTTTTTTCTTTTTTTTTTTAATGTGTTTTGCTTTCTGTCCCTTTTTTCTGTTAGAGTAGAAATTGTCATTGAGTGTGAACGTCAACACATCCCCTCTCTGTGTGCAATTAGATTTCAAAGTGCAGAGAAACATGGATTCATTCTTTTTTACCTACAAATGTGTTACATTTTTTCTCTTGCCGTTTTTGTGTAAAATTTACAGAAACTCTAGCATCCTGCTCCTCCAAGGTAATGTGTCTCCAAGGCTGTGTTTCTCTCTCTCTCTCTCCTGACTGTATTTATCATTCAGTAGTTTGCATTTGAGTACAGTGCTTTATTTTGGATATGTTTGAACAATATTCACAAATGGCTTGAAGGTATTTGAGCTTTGTAGACTTTTTATCACTAAAACAGGTGTCACCATAAGATAGAAATGCTCTACATGAATTAAAACTTCTGAAACATACAGGAGGAAATGTGTACAGTCTTTCTTTGTATGATCCTAATACAGTTATATAAATGCCCACACACTGCTGTTTTCATCACCTTTTTGTGGCTGTTTTTAATGCAGCAGCCAAAATTACAAGTGTTTTCCAAATTGATTTGCAATCAAATATCTATTTTTAAGTCAGATTTTTCCCGCGGTACTCTAGCGCCCGCACTTTGTTGAAGTTATTTGTTTATTCTCATTCTTTTCCTCCTCTTTCTCCTTTTCTCATGACCCCGCTACTGCCATTCCCCGACCTTCCCCGGCTTCTTTGCTTGCTTTTCAACAAACAGCACAACCAAGACGGCGCCTCATCTTGATGGGTAAAATCAAATTTCACTTTGGCACGTACAAAAGGCATTCAAATGGTGTTTACAGTTAACGCTGAACTTTCATCTCTGTCTTGGTTTTCAGCATTTTACTAAATTCAGAATTCTTAAAGCCCCTGAAAACGTGTCTTTCTTTATAATATTCAGTATTCATGATTATATAAGAAACAATAAAAGTTTAAAAAAAGAGTTAAACAGTCAAAAACTCAGCTAATCTGCTTCATCAGGACTGAGCCTGTCCACTTTAAACCAGTGAAAAGAACACAGAGGAAAAACATTCTGAAATTTCTCATGTCAAAAAAACTGTTTGCAGAAAACAGTGTGCTGAGAAGGCGATTGAGGAAAAATACGTTTTCAGGGCCTTTGAGGATACTGAAATCATATCATATCATATAGTTGTAACAGGCATCAATCTTTCCTGCTTCTATGCAGAGTCCATGTCGTCTTCGGTCTAGTCATCTCCGGCTTTGAGGTGATAAAGAAGATCGAGGGGCTGAAGACTGATTCAGCCAGCAGGCCCTACGCTGATGTGAGAGTGATAGACTGCGGGCAACTTATCACCAAGTCCGCTAATGATGGTAAGTTCAATAGTAAGGTTAGGGTTCGCTTTACTTTATTGTCAACAAATGATGAAAAGGCCAAAAGCAGACTTCCCTACCCTGTCTGTGGCACTCGACCCCAAGCTCATTACTCAAACTGAAGACATAAACATGTTCACTTTTTCCAAAAGGTTCAGTAATTTCTAGTAACAGTGACAGTTATGTTTTTTTGCAAACGCTACTAAATAGGAGCACATGCAATGTACAGTGCATTTGTTGGAGACTGCATGTTAGTTTCTCATTTTTGTGTTTTTAATCATTTTTAGACAACAATGGAGCTTTATACCACAGAGGAGTAAGCTACATGAGGCTTTGCATACAGAAGCAGTAGGATCAGTGCGTTGTTGTTGGTCTTTTCATGGGATTTGTTGAAAAAATATAGAATATCGTCAGACTTATCCTTTGAATTTTGACCTACTGCTGTATGAAAACCTCCAGTTCAAGTCTTTGTAGATGTGACATGTAGCCACCCAGCCAGTGCAGAAAGAGTTGTTGAATGTCTGGTGTATATGAGTGGAAATATCGTTTGATTATTAGTCATACTGTCGGTGGATTAAAAGACAACAAATTGCTCCACATTTCTACCTGGATATCATACATCATGGAGCAATGCAGGTTCATGTTGGCGTTGGTCTGGAGCGCATATCAGCAGACTTTAAAGGGCTGCGCATATGTAAGACAGCGGGTATTAAATCATTTTTAACGCAGGCATTTCGAGGAAGAACTCTGCATCAGACGATTTTATCACAGATCATACCAAGACTTGCTTTTGCCATATAAAGTGGACCAGTGAAGTGCGTGGTCGACAATTGCAAACATCCGAGACCACCCATTCGAGGTGGTCCAGAGAGTTCAGGTCCGAACTAAACGAGATGGGTGTGAACCCACCCTTAGTTCTTAACAAAAAGCTTAAATAGATGTTATGCATCTTTCAGAATCAGGTTTATTGCCAAGTAGATTTGCACATACAAGGAGTTTGCTTTGGTATGTTGGTGCATAACAATGAACATAGTTAAATATAAGGAAAGATAAAACATGTAAATGCAAATCATTTCATTGATCTACACATAACCTTATGCCGTTTGTTTTTTTCTCCTGTGAGGAATAACGTTTGTTGCTTGTGATATGAACTGGGTCACATTTTGTGCTCGTTCTGTAAGAGGTCGGCATTTAGACGCCAGCGTTTTCCCCCACTGGCATTCGAATGGGGCGTGTAACCTGATCTTCTTTTTAATGAGGATCAGCGAGGTGGAGTTCATTTGGCAGCTGCCCACCTGACTCTGCCAGGCTCCCAACGTACTGAGAAGAAACAAAGCCTTTGTTGTCCTAGTGGCACCCTGAAAATGACTCCTGGCATTTGAACTTTATACTGTTTACTGTTACATATTGTTGTATTCTTTGTTGAAATGACTCATGCTGTTATGTTTCTTACTTAAGTAGTTGAAGGCAAGAGGAAAAGAGCCAACTCGTCTGCCGACTTGTCCCTCAATTCCCACGACTCCTCGCAGTTCTCCTCTTCAGCGGAATCTGAAAGTGAATCAGATGAAAAGCACAAACATCACAAGCACAAGCGACACGCAAAGAGTAAACGGTCAAAAAAGAAAAGGAGGGAATCACAGAAAGAGAAGAACGATGATGTCCCTCTTACAGACCCAAGGTACTTTTTATTATTTTTTTGTTCATGATCACATTTTTACATGCTTATACATTTACTCACATGTATCTCTGATGTACATGACCACAGTTTTGATCAAGTCTGATCGGTATATCTAGGTCTAAATAGAAGCACTGACATGATTCAGAGTCGGCCTAAAAAGAAGCTGGTTCTTTGCATAACAAAATATTGTTTTGCATCTTGTCATGTTGTTGAAGCTCTCACTGTCCTGTGGAAAGAGATGTGCTGGAGGGAGAGAACGAAGTGGACGGAGAGAAGGAGCAGAGCGGGAAGAGAGAGAAGCCTGTCGTCCGACCAGAGGAAATCCCGCCGGTGCCAGAGAACCGCTTCCTGCTGCGACGGGACGTGCCATCTCAGGAAGATAAAACAGAGATGTCAGTGTTAAGTTGGGGTAGTTTTTTGGGGGGAATACATGTTAGCTTAAACATTGTACACTTAACTAATTACTGTAGGTGTTTACTTTGAGATTTGATCTTTTCAGAGTTGAGAAAGAAGAAACGTCCCTTTCAGTTGACCAGAAACCAGCAGTCTCCAAGTCCGGACGGAAGATCAAAGGCAGAGGAACAATGGTATACTCACCTCAACCAGAGATTTGTTTCTTCAGATTTGGTGTTCATTTATTACTTGTTCCTGTAGTAGTCTGCTCGTAGTTTTACCTGATCCACTTTGACAAAGTCCAAGGGCCAATATTGGCAAGCGGACAATATCATTTCTATTCTGTTAATCCAAATTACACTTTGTTGAACTCTGAGCCCAAGATTATGCTTGTTTTTTCAGACATGCCTTTTGTAGATTACTAGATGTGGGAGGGGCGGGACATGTGCATACAACCTCCATCTTTGGCATTGCAGGCTTTCCCCCATAGAATTCTATTCAGGATTATTTAAGTGGCGAGTCTCTTTCCCTTAAATCGTCTCTTGTCACAAGCCAAAAAGGATTGGAAGGATTGGAAGTTGCTGTAAAGAATCGAACTCCATCTGTTTGATTTACCCCAAACTATTTTTTATTATGTTTTCTCCATGCCTGCATACAGGTCCCTTGAGGCAAATAATCTTGAAGCACAGCCGCAACACGCTCTATAAAGAGTTTTAACATATTATTAATTAATGTAATTTGAAATATCAGTATGTTTGTACTTTTTTTGCAGAGATATCACACCCCCACAAGATCGAAATCGCGCTCTGCATCTGTGGAAGAGCGTGGTAGCAGTGAAACTCCACCACACTGGAAAGAAGAGATGAAGAGAACCAAAGTTTATCAGCCGCCGAGCGTCGAGAGATGGACCAAAGGAGACAAGTATGACTTCATATTTTACTTTCTAACTTAGAATATTAGTTTTTTTTTTTTTCTTCCTTCATACATCTTTTGACTTAACAGATTGAATGACCGTTCCTCAAGCAGATGGGACGACAGAAGCAACTCTACGTGGTCCCGGTCTGCAGAACACTCCTCAGACCGCAGCTCTGAGGGGTCCAGTGTGCGCCGCCAACAGAAGAAAGAGAAGAAGAAAGCCAAACACAAGAAGAAGGCCAAAAAACGTAAGCGTGGCAAGAAGAAGAGCTCAAAGAACAAAGCTCAAGAGCCTCGCCTGTCAGAGGGAGAAAGGTCTGTGTCTTTAGAAAGAAAGTCCAAAAGATCCCGTTCTCCATCCTGCTCCTCTTCAAATCAGCATCATTCGTCTCCTCGGAGGAGACGGCGGTCCTCGCTGTCCTTTAGAGACTCGCGGTCCTACTCTAGGTCCTACACATCCAGTCAGTCCAGATCTAGAGGGAGGTCCAGGTCTTATTCAAGATCCAGAAGCCTTTCTAGGTCTAGAAGTCGGTCTTTGTCTAGATCCAGATCTCAGTCATATTCTCGATCCCGGTCTAGATCCAGGTCGAGATCAAGATCCAGGTACAGATCTAGGTCTCCATCTAGAAAGAGGAGTTCATCCAGATCCCCAAGAAAGAGAAAGGCTAGCAAGCCCAAAGCGGACGCAATGATCCACGTGCCCGAGAAGCTCCCAGAGAGCAAAGTCACGCCCGTCCCCAGACTCCCTACCGTCCCGCCTCCTGAAAGCGTCTCCGTGATCCCGCTGAGCGACAGTCCTCCTCCTTCACGCTGGAAACCTGGTCAGAAGCCCTGGAAGCCCTCCTACATCCACATTCAGGAAATAAAAGCCAAAGTGGCTCCCAGTAACATTTCCTTCACAGGACAAGCAGCCGATAGTGTTACAGAAAAAGCTCAGACTTCAGTTAAACCAAAGTGTCCGCCAGGCAACTCTGAAAGCGACAAAGGACACAAACCTGCAGGGCGCTCACAAAGCAGGTCCTCCAGAAGCATGTCTTACAGCCGTTCATATAGCTGCTCAAGGAGCAGAAGTTACAGTAGGTCTGGGTCCAGATCCCCGTATCAGTACAACAGCAGGTCATCGTCCTACAGCAGGTCAGGCTCTGAAAACTCCCACAAAACAAGCAACAAGAAGAATTCACTGGACAAGGAATGGAAAGAGTATTACAGCTCTTTAAAGAGGATAAAAGATTTAGATAAGTACATTGCTCTCGCCAGTAGTCAAGATGTTCAGTCAGGATCGGAGAACAGGGCAGGCTGTGAGCATAGTCCTGACTTTTTGGAGAAAATAAAAGAGAAAGTCAGCTCACAGGATCAAGAGACGAAGCATTACAGCTCAATGCCAGCGGAAAACTTTCATAGCAGGTCTGAATGGGATAGTGACAGTGATAAAGTGAGCCAAAGCAACAGCGCTACCCTGTCAAAGAAGCAGAAACGAGCAGCTCCGTCCAGTGAAATTCTTGACAAGAAGTTGTCTGCAGTTACTGGATGGAATTCAGAAAGCGATTCTGAAAATATAACAGCCAGGAAATTGGCCATATCCGAAAAAGAGGAAGGGGAGGCAAGTTCAGAATCAGAGCATGAGACTTTCGGGAAGACGTCAGAGGCAGAGGTTGCCGCTGCTGCAGCTGGTGGTCAGTCAGAGGAAAGTCCTGAGAAGGCAGCAGAGCCGGAGAAGCACAAGAGCAAGAAAAAGGCCAAACGGAAGCACAAACACAAGCGAAGAAGTGAGAACAAAAGCGGTTCCCACCACAGTAAGGACAAAAGAAAGAGATCTAAGAGGAAACATCAGAAGCTCAAAGAGACTTTTCACTGGCAGCCACCTTTAGAGTTCGGAGAGGAGGAAGAAGACGACGAATCAAAACGAGAGAGACACAGTCCTGGGAGAGTTGTCAAAGAAAGACCTGGTGTGGACAGTACGAATGAAAAGCACCAATGTTTAACCTCTTTAACCAAGAATCCTCCTAGAGAAGATGATAAGGGGCAACAGAGACCAAAGGAATGTATCAGCAAAAACCCAAAACACGCTGAACCCCATCTTCAGTCATCCAACCGGAACGGTGCCAATTTACCCAGTATCAACGAGCAAGAGTCATTAGACGACATGGACATTTGCACCCCTGAGCATGACATTGAAATTGTAGAACCTCCAGTTACACAGGATTCTCATTGTGACGCCCCTGAATTAACCATAAAATCTACCTCTAAGTCTTCAGATATAAGTAAAGACAGCGCTTTACCTCATAGCAAAGAACAGCCTTCTGTTACCTCCACAACAACAGCTGCTGGACTGCAAGATGAAGCAACCACTGGCACTGTGAGTAGTTTCAAATGGAGGCCTTTAAAAGGAATGTCAGCTTTACAGAGCGCGAGCGTGCCGCCTGTCACCACAAAAAGTATCCAACTTCAAGAGAGCCAGACCCCCAACGCCCGCGGAGTGAGAATGGAGATAAAAAGCAAAAGCCGGGTACGCCCAGGATCTCTGTTCGATGAGGTTCGTAAGACCGCCCGGCTCAACCAGAGGCCGAGAAACCAGGAGAGCTCCAGCGAGGAGAGCTCCCCCTCTGTGGGAAAGATGAGGGGGACGTCGCGCACGCGGTCCCCGAAGAAGTCCAGGTCCGCGTCCAGGAAGTCACACTCTGTTTCCAGTCACCGGTCCCACTCCCGAGGCTGGTCCCACTCTTACAGCAGGTCCAGGAGTAGATCCCGCAGCTCCAGCTACTCTTCTAGGTGAGATAAAAAAACACACTTAATAAATGAGGAGCGTTAGGGCGCCATCGGTAAATCTCCAAATGTTGGAGGGGCTTTTTTTTACATAGATGATGATTGTTGCAAAGTAATAAACTTGTGGGATGTGAAGCATTTGTTCTAGCTTTGGTGAGATGTGATTTATAATAATCAAAATTCTTTCAGGAGCCGTAGCAGGAGTCGAAGGAGACACGGAAGAGGACGGTCACGCTCTCGTAGCAGCACATATAGAAGTTACAGGAGTCACAGGTACAACCTGAAACACAGATTTAATAATGTATTGTGGCCATGTAGACTCTTAAGAAGAGTCAGAAACCTTAACTGTATACACAACCTCCCAAAGACTTTCCATTGTATATTTTATCATCACAAATGTATGATTGGTCTTGTGTCTTTCAAACCTGTGTGTCTCACTGTGTTTTTCCTCCCATCAGTCGGACATACAGTAGAAGTCATTCCAGAAGTCGCTCATATAATCGGCGTCGGAGATCCAGGTCTGTTAATGCAGAATGTTTAATTGTTATGTGAGGGGTCACTGAGTTAGCCTTAAGCTCACATACAAACACAATTATGCAAACACTACCTTCAGATTAAAACACCCTGATCTAATTTGATTTTTAATCACAATTAAATTAGCAATCAGAGGTGGGTTGCAGCAGTGTTAATTGAGAGTTTGAAAGGATATTTATACGCCTGTCAGTTTTCATAAGCGGTAATGTGAAGTATGGAGCAAGGGCTGATTCTGGTGCGGAGACATTAGACGGATTGAATATTCAGTTATTCCATTGACAGAAAAAATACTATTTTGAAAGATTTGCTGCTCTTCTTTTTCTTCTCTGATGTTTTTCCTTAGTTTTGTCATAAAAGTAAGCTAATTGTTAGTTGCAGCCCTAGAAGAGATCCATCCTGTCTTTAATCATTAATTATAATATTGGCAATTGCATGATGCAGGAATAACCAATCAATCTTTCTCACCATGCACGCAGACAGACTAGAAGAAAGACTCTGCAGAGTATTTGTCATAAAATCACTAATCTTTCTTTACCATCTAGTATGGACTTTGCTTTTCCTTGTATAAGAAACCTCTACTAAGCACGTCTGTGTGAGTCAAAAGTATTCCTAAAATAATGTCTCTGTGGTCATCCGGCTGTATGTTAATGCAGGTCAGACTCTTATGACAGCTATTCCAGTCGGAGCGTGAGCAGGAGACGAGGTTACAGGCGAAGTGACAGCTACAGGAGCTCAGACCGCCGATCCCGGTAAGACGCTCTGCTCCCCCGGTAAACCCTGACAGACCTCAACAAGGGTGACAGGGCTTTGAACCTTCTGTCTTTTCCTTCCTGTGGCCGAACGTTAGATTGGGGTTGAACACCCAGGACATACTAACCATTCAGTGTTATACACAAAGTGTATGTATTAAATCATGCCTGAAAAGTCAAATATTTAATTGTAATCTTTGTCTTCTGCAGGTCGTCCCGCTCCTCGAGTCGCAGCTCTTCCAGGCGCAGGAGTCACAGTCGCAGCAGCCGCTACAGTTGAGCTCTCAAGCCTGCAGAGAGCAGAACAAAACCACAAAGTCTGGACACTGCGCAACACAACTAACTGTTATCATCACAGATCAGCCACTGAAGGGGAAGAAGTTGTATTCCACCTTGTCACTAGTTTAATACTGTACTTTTATTCCCCTACGTAAGCGGACAAAATCGTTTTTGAGGAAATGAATGTTATGTAAATAAATAAACAAACCACTTTACAAGCTGACACACACACAGCTAAGAGAATCTGACAACATGGCCACTCTATCAGCTTAAAGGTAAAACTAAATATGTGCGATAAATAATAAGAAATAAGCTGTATATATTTTATATTATTGTATATTCTTTTCTACTTCTGTTTTTTATACAATGAAATGTACAATTATACACACACTTGGTGTCTAATTCTCTCAGTTCTGATGTGTGTGAGGAGTTAAAGGGTTGAGGTTATGCCTTAATTTAGTTTCAAGCTGTAATTTGTCTTTGTTCCATGCGGTGTATTACTGTATCGTGAATGTTAAAACTAGTCAAAGTATAGAATCTGATTTTGATTGTATTCAAACAGTTATGAATGTCTACACAATAAATACCACCACATCTTAAGCCTGTCTTTTTTTGGTTGTTCCTCACCATGTGTAGCAGATCATCAGGCAGAGATCAGCTCATGTCCTCAAATGGACTCGGAGAATTTGTACCTCTATTATGGCGCCATCTACCTTTCACTTCAGAACTGCAACGTGTAAATACTTTCTATGGTGTGTAAGGGTATGTATTATATTTATGTCAGACTCTTTAAATGCGCTGATCAAATATTTTTACTCCACTTTTTCTATAAGATGTCATGAAATTATAAGAATCGGATTCATGCACAAGTATCATTTCACTCCCCGATCAGGTCACCTCATTGGAATAAGAAATAAGTGTGGAGATGACCCCATTCATTTTTTTTTTATCACACAAAACTAATTGAAATGAATTTGGTTCCCTTCTTGCTGATATTTGCGAACACTTGAAGCTGTGCTCGTGTGCGAGCTCCTGTCACTTCTGTGAGCTGCATGCAAGAAACCAAAGAAATCACTCATGAGATACACATCCTACTGAATTGCCACAGTGCCTGTCCAATTTTTATCTGCAAGTGCAGGCGGTTAATACGGTTCGGGCCTGTTCTTTTATGGATGGCCCTCTGGTACAAATCAAATCTGGATTTACAATACGCCACCACCATGCAGGAGGAGTAGAGAGCCAATAAGCAGTACATCATGATTGTGCTACACACGTGGATACAATGAATTGATGCTGACAAAGAGGAAATGTGTGTTTTTTTAATTTATTATAATATTTAGTGTTTGTGGGACTTTTGTAGTATGTGTGTGTGATTTTAGGCAGGCATGAGAATGCAATTTAACATGTAAAGTAACAGGAAGCCCAAAGCATTGGTTCCTAACTAGAACCAACTAGCACTAAAACACAATATGAACTGAAATTATAGGGACCTTAAAGTGACGCCTTCATTATTACCTAAAATTGTAATATCTTTATTATTCCAGTTTATATTGTGTTCTTATGGTGCATATTCCTAAAACATGTTGTTAATCAAATTCGTAATAAAAACAAACAAACAAAACATATAGGTTAATAATTACAAACTAATACATACAGAATAGACACTGGGTGGGTCAATAGGGCTGATATATGGCACTTCTTTCCAGGAAGATAAATAATAATGATAATATTGTGTAAATTAAGCTACAATGACTTCTTCAACATGGGAAAATTAATGAACTTCCTGACCTCCGCATCTGGCTGCCTACGTGACGTCACGCGGTTGCAGGCGCGCACAGTGAGAGGAAGCGCACCCAGGTTTGCGCCATATGGCTGTTTGTCCTTCCCAGTCCTCCTCCTGCTCACGCCAAAAACAAAAAAGAAAAAATCCAATACAAAGAAATGCGCCTGTCTCGCAACTCCACGTTAAACAGTACCGTGTCCCTTTAAAAACGTCTGACAAAAAAGCCCATATGATCCCCGTGCTCCAATCACCAATTCCTTCTGCAAAAGCAGCCTCTGCATTTTTGTCTGTCTGAATGCTACAGCAGCACGGGGGTAAAAAGATTGAGGATAAGGCAAAGACTGAAGAAATGTGACAATTCAACGGTCAGTTTCATGGCGAAGGGAAAACTGGTGCGAAAGGAGTTATTCTGGGACTCCTTCGAGCCTCGAAACGCTGGATCAAAATGGTAGGCTACAGAGGAGCGCTGCATTTTTGTTTATTTTTTTTGTCCCTGTTTGATCTCTTGCAAATTTGAGCTACTTAGCAGGCCAACCAAACTTACCGCACTTCTGCCTCATTATGTGCTTGGACCACTGGCTGTCACACGCGCATTTAGTGCTTTGTGTCCTTTGCGGTGAAGTTTGTAACTTGCCCACACGGCACAAGTTGGAAATTGAAGCAGCTGAAAGAATGCGATGGCTACAATAGCTACATTGATGCAGAGAAGGAGTTAAATTCTTTCATATCAGGGCGCTTCTGCAAAAGGCTCAGGTCGAGACTGGTGCAAATGTAGACAGGATGACGGAAACTGAACTGCCCCCCTCCTTTTCTCCAACAGCCAGTGCAGGGCAAGTTTGTTAGGCTTCGACATTTATGCATTCATTAGAGAATCTCCTTAGTGTGGTCTGAAAGAGGAGTAGATGTCACTCCTCATGTCTTAATAACTTCACTTTGTTGCAGGTGACACTCAAGCAGAGGTGTAATGCTGAAATGGCCCCTGAGCTTTGGATGAAGTGTCCTACAATTAAATGGAAATTTAATTTGGATAATGTTTAATTTGAACATGTCTTTTGTCCTTGACATGAGATCAGTTTCTTTTGGCAAACTGATGCACTTTTACTGACCGGTATCCCTCTGTGGCCATGCCAACGTCGATGTCGATGATGTTTTTATTCCCACTTACATTAGCAGGTATGAAGCTGATTCCTGCACAGAGACTGATAGAGTTATGGGAATAGAGGCAGACAGTCCGCTCTGTCTCCAGGGTCATTTTAGGATGCCTCATTAGGAAAGCATGTGGAGCTTGATGCAGTGGTGGAGTAATCCCAGGGCGCGTTCACATCTGGAGGCTTGGGTTAATATCTGGGTCAGGTCAGCGGGGTTAGCGCTGGTACTCGCTGGGTGGCTTCTGGTGGGAGCAAAGAGGGAGAGGGAGGTTTTTGGTATTGCTATGTTTTTCTTCCCTTTTTTCTATTTGCTTTTTTTTGGAACACACATGAGTGTGAGCTGTGATAAACAAAGTGCAAAGTGTGCTTGGTGAATGCAATGTGCCAGTCATCAGAGATTCTTTTGACTGTTTTGGTAAACATGCTCTAGATCATTTCTGCAATTACTTTGTTGACATCAAAAGCTGATTACTCCCCGCTAATTTTGTTTTTATCAATAAGCTCACTTTATATCCCATAAACTCCCTTGTTTATGGATGGATTACTGAGCAGGCCTACCAGGCACAGTGGCCCAAGGGGTCAGCGGGCCCCTGGACCAGAGGCTCTTTATGAAGTGACTGTTAACATTACATGTTGGAAAGTTTGGGAAATAACCATAAAGAAACACAAAACCAGTAAAAATAGATGCAAAAGAACTACACAGAAATGCAAAACGACAAACTAGAGACGCAAAATAACTACAAAGAGATGCCAAACGATTAAAGATGGACACAAAATAACTGTAAAGAGATTGAAAACGACTAAATATGGATGTCAATCAACTACAACAAGATATAAAGTGACTAAAAAGACACAAAACAACTATAAAGAGATGTAAAACGACTAAATATGGACGCCAATTAACTACAACGAGATGCAAAACAACCTAAAAATAGACACAAAAGAACTATAAAGAGATGTAAAATTACTAGAGATAGTCACAACAATTACAAAGAGACAAAATATAACTGTAAAGACATACAAAATAAGTACAAGCTGGCACAAAACAACCATAAAAGAGATGCAAAATGTCGTTTGTAGTTGCTTTGTGTGTCTTTAGATATGCAGATCTTGCTCCAGTGTGGTCAGGTTAGGGGCATTTTACATGTCTGTGCTTTGAGGCCCATCGTCTTCATGCCCTTATCCAAATAAAAAGATTGTTTGTTATTCTCTTAATTTTGTGGATTTGTGAAAATGTATGCCTGCCTCATGTTCTGTGCACGCTAGATGTTTATACTGTACACTTTGGGCCGTCTGATACTATTTAATTTCAGCGAGCATTGTCAGGTCGTGAGTAGCTCCTTCTCTGTCCTCACAGGGTGCTGTGAGTTTTACGTAACTGCCTATTCAGGGCATTCCTGCCCACTCTTGACTTTGAGGCTTCACTGTCTCTGGGTGCTGAGTGAGGAAACTGTCTTTAGTCCTTGTGACAAGTGCAGCCATTCCCGAGCCCCGGCAACAAACTCCAGCAGACATCTTTGGCCCCTGGTAGGAGGCCGCTCTCCTTGGAAACTCAGACCATACTGTAGGTGCTGCTAATTTATTCCCCTGAGATTAAGAACAGTGGACAAGGCTACAGAGAGCAAGGTGAAAGTTGCTGGGTGTATGTAAGGTTTCTTTTGCTCTTGTTGGTTAATGTGGCACTTTTAGTTTGTTTGAAGTAAGAAGGTTTGTTTTTAGTCTTTGAATAAATCCACATTTTTATTGTTTCTCCACAGTGCCAGCCAGCATCGGTGTCTTTTCATCTGAAGAAAACAGTTACTATAATTTAACCCTGTGGCACTTAAAAAAAAAACTCCATTATCAAAAAAGCCAAACAGCTTTTTCTTTTTGTACAGCTTGGTATGAGGATCTCTATTAGCCTTTCATTGTCAGGCGTTTAAAACATATTAAGAGAGGGTTGTTTTTTTTTTTTTTAAGGGCTCAGTCTAAAGTGTTCTTATAGCTTTCATCTGATATCAGACCAGAGAGAGAGACTTAGGAGGAAGTGTCAGAGATTTACCAAGCTGGAAAGTAGGGATCCTTCATCTGATAATAATGACAAATATTTGTTTCACATTTAGTCAAACACACAGATTAATGGGATGACATCATTATCCATTTTTTAGCTACGTATCTGCAACTTGTACAAATGTCACAAAAACAGTGATCAGTTTGAATGATATACTCCTCATCCATCACAGTATTAAAAATAATTTCACCTCAAACGAATCACTTATTTGTTCAGTTTAAATGTTTCGCCTTTTCATAAGAAGATTGATAATCACTCTCATAACAGCATTAAATATGAAACAACAGCTGGTTAGCTTAGCATAAAGACTGGAAAACGGGGAAACACCTAGCCTGACTCGTTTTGAAGGTATCAAAATCTGCGTGGCAACATATCAAAAGCTCACTAATAAATCACTTTACATTCGGTTTATTTAATTCATACAAAAACCAAAGCGTAAAAACAACAATTGTTTTATTTGGGACAGAATTGGACAGTTTCGTGGGCCTGTGATGTTGCCAGGCATCAAGCAGTGACTCCAGGAAGTTACTGCTCCCTGCCAGGAAATAGTTGTAAAAAAACCCCATCATAAAATGGCTAATTGAGGTGCTGGTAGGTGGATTTTGTTGGACAGAACCAAGCTAGCTGTTTGCTCCTGCTTTCAGTCTTTGTGCTAAGCTCAGCTAACCGGCTGCTGGCAGTGGTTCATCTTTAATGTATAGTTATAAGAGTGGTGTCAATCTTCTTATCTAACTCTCCACCAGAAAGCGAATAAACATATTTCCCCAAATGTCGTACTATTCCTTTAAGCTCATGTTCACCATTTCATCCTTTGATTGCCGCTACTGAAAGCCGGTGCTCCTCCTCTACCTCTTTTTCCTCTCCGTCCTCTCTGACCTTCTCATCAAACGTATCAACTGCCTCCACACACACACACACACACACACCACACACACACACACACACACACACACACACACACACACACAGAAAGAGTCTTGCCACACCAGAGCGATTCCTCTGATAAGGAGCTCTTTAGAGTCTTGTGTTAGCCTCCTCTCTGTGTGTCATGCTATGAAAGGGGGTAATGAAGATATCACAGTCTCATCTCGTGTAATAGCCCTCGGGTATGTCTGCTCGCTGCTACACATCAGAATGATCTTATGTCTCTAATACATCACTTCAAAAGGTACATTTTTCACTCTCGGTGTCATATATTTGAGCAAATCAGATTTAGTCCCTTCACTAACTTGATACTGTTGTTTGCATTTTACAAATAGAAACATTGCTGTTTGTCCAACCCTCCGTACTTTATTGTGCCACAGGTATTTGGCATCACATCTCTGTGTTTACTGATGAATGCACAGCAGACGAGGGTGTACGCCCACATAGTGCACATGCGTGTATGTTGCTGGCCTGGGAACAGTGTATTTATGACTCCAGCATAGCGCTGGTGTGTGAAGCGTTGTAACGTGTGTGTGAGGAGGAGATGCCAGCACCACGGGCCTCTCTCTTGGCCAGGCTTCCTGACTCAGCGCTTCCTCTCCCAGCTCACTGGCCCAGACACAAACTTCCTGGCAGAGCTTCAGTGCGGACGCTCTAACCTCATCACTGCCCCCCCCCCCACACACACCCCTGCACCCGCCTCCAGGCAGCTCCTTTGATTATCCAACCGCTCGTCAGAGTCATGTCAACTCCAGACGACCGCCAGTTGATGTCTTCTTTCAACATCACTTCTGATTGGGCGACACACACACACACTCACTCACTCACTCACTCACTCACTCACTCACTCACTCACTCACACACACACACACACACACACTCTCTCTCTCTCTCTCTCTCTCTCTCTCTCTCTCTCTCCCCAGCTTTACCACACTGATAAAACACTGTTGTCCAGTTTGTTTAAAGGACAAGCCTGTAAAAGGACTTTTGCAAATCATTCAGCTGGGGCAATCCTGCTCACGCCGTCAAATTTTAATGTACTGTACGTTACCAAGATGCTGCTCATGCTGTTCTCGTCCGTATTTTTGTTTGTGCATCCCAATTTCATGCTCGGGTAAACGCGTATCAGTTGTAGATTGGCTTGTCACCTGTGGCTGCATTAACATATAGATGGAAATGTATTTAAATCTAATGGCGAAAGCTGGTGGAGCTCCACCAGGGCAGGGCTGGGGCAAGTCCGAACTACCAGATCAGGAGAGGGAAAAGCCTACCGTGTGGAGGGGAGATTGGATGTCTGGGATTAGAGCAGCGCTAATGCTGATAATA